AACATAAAAGCTGCTTTATTGATGCCCCGTGGGATCGCGATGATGTCACAGTCTGAAGAAGAGAGAGACTCAGTTGGGCTTTAAGATCACCGACATCAACAGCTTCCTTGTGATGTCACTGACACTGACCACATCAAGCAAGTCACAAGAGCTGCTCCTCACACATGCCCAGGGTAATCACTGGATGTGTGTCTGAGTGTGTGTGTGTGCTTCTCCGCATATGTAGAGTGGTGTGTGCAGCTCTGTGTGTCTGTGTTCATTTGTGTGTCTGAGCATGTGTGCGCTTCTCTGTAAATGTAGTGTCTATGTGTGGGTCTGTCTGTGTGTGAGTGGTGTGTGTCTGTGTGAGTGGGTTTCTTGTGTGTGTGAGTGGTGTGTGCCTTTAATGTGTGAGTGGTGTGTGTGTCTTGATGTGTGAGTGTGTGTGTGTCTTGATGTGTCAGTGTGTGAGTGAGTTTCTGTGTGTCTGTGTGAGTGCTGTGTTTTAGTAGTGTGTGTCTGTCTGTGTGTGTGGTGTGTGTGTCTTGATGCGTAAGTGTGTGAGTGAGTTTTTGTGTTTGGCGTGTGTGTCTGTGTGAGTGCTCTGTTTTAGTGGTGTGTGTCTGTGTGAGTGGTGTGTGTCATTATTTCTCCATCATCCTGTTTTTAACATTTGTTTTTCACAACAAGAAAGAGAACTAAACCTGGCATCTCATTCTGATTGCAAGAGACCAGGGATAACAACAGTACAAGCTGTGTCTAAACTCAGGCAAACAGATGTGTGCAATACTGTACTCTGTATAGCCCATCTCTCACTGTGTCTCCTGTCCTGTTGTGTGTGTTTATTACTGAGGCAGTCTCTGTGATCTCCTCCCTCTCACTGTGTCTCCTGTCGTGTTGTGTGTGTTTATTACTGAGGGATTCTCTGTGATCTCCTCTCTCACTGTGTCTCCTGTCCTGCTGTGTGTGTGTATTACTGAGGCAGTCTCTGTGATCTCCTCCCTCTCAATGTGTCTCCTGTCCTGCTGTGTGTGTTTATTACTGAGGGATTCTCTGTGATCTCCTCTCTCACTGTGTCTCCTGTCCTGCTGTGTGTGTTTATTACTGAGGGATTCTCTGTGATCTCCTCTCTCACTGTGTCTCCTGTCCTGTTGTGTGTGTGTATTACTGAGGCAGTCTCTGTGATCTCCTCTCTCTCCCTGTGCCTCCTGTCCTCTGCTCCTGGCAGGATGGGTGTTGTAAGGGCTCCTCTCCACCGTGGCGCAATGCTGTGGTTGGACTGCGGATGCCAGTGGGACGTCCCGAGGTGAGGATGATTTCGGAACGGCTGGTCCTGTGACTCTTGCGACAGGGCCTGAAGGTTAGCCAGAGACTGAATATCTTCACCCGCCTCCGATAAGGCAAACTCACACACTGGGTGGACAGTTACCTTTATCAGTTGATTTCCGGTCCCTGGA